CCTCAGAACACAGAACTTACAGACAGAACTTAGAAGACAGAAACTTAGACAGAACTTAGAAGACAGAACCTACACAGAACCTAGAACTTCGCTGGAGAGAACATGGCAAAAGATCCTGGACTGAACCTGACTACAGAAATTGGCAAGAGAACCCGGCTACAGAACCTGGCGACCGAACCTGGCTGGAGAACCTAGCGAGAGAACATGGCCACAGAACCTGGCTGGCTGGAGATCCTAACCAGAACTTTGCTGGAGATCCTGACCAGAACTTGGCTAGAGGAACCTGGCTATGATGATCACCCGAACGCTGCCTCCGTGTCATTCCTTCTTCGCCGACTCCGTCCGCACCTATGGGGAACCCCTGGACCTGCTGGAGCTGGACCCCGGCAGTATGGCTTGAAGGAGGAAATGGACCTGAAAATGCTTTGTATGCATTAAAAACGATTGAGCACCTCCATACAAAGTCCTGCAGAGCCCCCTCCTGCCCTTGAGCAGGTCTTGCCTGCACTGATAGATGAGACTTTCATCCAAAACATTAGTGCACAGGCCATTCAGAGCTCAGAAGAGGGGAGGCTGGTAAGCTGCTCCCAGCCCTCTGTGCAGATCTTTGCCTGAGACTTGATATATTTAGGAGTTTATTTTAAAGTCATTGGGTGGGGATTTCTTAGTCCCCCGGACAGTGAGCGGGAGTAGGTAAGATTTATTTAGTAGGAGGGGTTAGCCAGGTAGCCACCTCTTCCTTCCCACCAGAATGAAATCTCATGACTAGAAGCAGGGAAGTCTAACTCAGGGTTCTAGTGCTACCCGAGAAGTCTCATTTAGTAGGAGGATTGAGGGAGGAGATTGAAGCTGAGACCTAGAGACCCACAGGGGCAGGGCACACAGCAGGGGCCTGAACACCCCCCAGGGACAGGACCAACAGGTCAGGGATTGGCGGGGAAGTTGTGCAGGGCTGGATCTTCTTGAGAGAGAAGGGGCTGGGAAATTCTCTTCAGGGACTCCAAATAGTTCAGTCCCATCAAGCATGGTCAGAGCCTGGGGTGGAGGGAGTGAACTGGCAACTGAAGAAGGAAGTAAAGAGCGGGTAAGGAAGCTTCAGACTGTGATGGGTGGGCTCCCCTGGAATATCAGCATTCTGTGTAGATTGAATGATTCCTGGTGGCAGCCCATGACTTGTCTTTCAGACTGTTTCCTATAAGCTTCATCCAAAATCTAGTGTTAGTGTCTCCTAACCACAGCACGAACAGGTGACAGGAACAGGAAAGCGAGATCGCCTGATCAAGGAAGGCTTCTTGGAGGAAGAGGAGCCTGGAGAACGGGTAGAAGTTGAGGCAACAGAGAACAGTGATTTCTAGTGCCTACTGAACCCAGAAGTCTTGGAACCTCCATTTAGTAGTAGCTGTGCCTCACTTTTCTCAACTGTGAAATGGGTTATGCGAGAGTTTACACGTGTAAAGGGCTCAGACCTGAGCCTGGCACATAGGAAATGGTCCATACATGTTATTATTTGATTAAGCGAGGAGTGGGAGGTCATCAGAGGTAGAAGATGCCCCTGGCAATTGTGCTATACATTAAAAAGTGTTGCTAAAGCACCTAGAGCCCCAGACCCATGAGTTTAATGGATGCTGGTAGTGAGGAGAGGAGCATAACATGGGGATGCTCTGGGGGCTGAACCAGGCCTCAAAGCCACACCCACCAGGCACCCACAAACACAAGGCCACTGGACACCATTCCTACGCACGTGTGCACGCGCATGCACAAGCTCTCACACTCACAGATGCACACTCCCCGACACAGACCTGCATGCCTGCCCCCTGCTCCCCCCCACCCTTCTCAGAAATAAGGCTACACCAGCCTGGGGCGGTTTTCACACCCGGCAAACCCCTGAGACTCTCCCAGCCCCCGCATGGCACAGCCATCAGTGTGTCTGCTTCTCTCCAGGCCTGAAGGCTGCTGCAGCCAAACGTGATCCTCGCCCCGCTCCTCCCCTCAGACCCCTCCGCTCAGAGCTCAGAACC